GTTTATGCATCTGGCTGAGGATCCAGAGGTTGGGAGTTTGATCCCCCCCCCTGTGTCTTCTTGAAAGGAAGTACTAAGATGATGATTATTATAAGATTATTATGGACTGACCAAACTGGAGAAGAGTCTTCCTCTACTTTCTATTGAAGGCTTGATGGAGAGAAAGTGATGAAGCTCATGCACAGCTTAGGTGCTCCCTGACCACCTTAGAAGTTGCCCAGACCTATTTTAGTGACTGTACAGCCCAGGGAAATTTCTTCACTGGAACGGTCAAAGTCAGTGTCAAAAAAAAATGAGGCAGGAAGACATCACTGTAACTCAACAAGGAAGACATGGTTCCTTGCTGACTTGGAATAAGGCTTGCCTATTGACAATGAAGGCAGGACACAAAGCAGACGCTTCCAATGGGCTTGGAAGGCTGGCTTAGCAGGACATCTATCCTAGAAAGGATTTCTCTGAAGCACCGTCAGGCTTTTGACAGATAACGTGACCATGTTCACTGCAGGACAGGCATCAGCAACTTTGCCCAGTCTCAACAGACAGGCTGTAGAAGATAACACAGGTCTGTTAGGTCTGTTCACCTCTTCCAAGCAATGGACTCACGTTTTGGGGCAAAGTTTCCAAACCCGTATGTATACTTAGCTCACCAAGTGAATAAACATTTCGAGAAAGAAAATTCCTGGGTTTCTTTTTCTATACTTGTGTTTAAAAAAAAAATCATGAGGACTGGTATTGCCCGAGGTTATGCTTTTTAATTTTTATTTATTTATCATTTTATTTATTAGATTTCTATCCTGCCCATCTAGAGCAGAGGTCCGACTTAACGAGGATAATTTTTCCATCCCATTCCTATTTATAGAATTCATTGTTTTATAAAGATCACACAATTTGTTCCTTAAGCTGAAAAGTTTTTAAATTAGCATTTTTTTAAAAAAAAATTATTAAAACTTTTTTAGAAATTCTATTAGGTTTTTATGAACAAGGATGATGATCCATGTTCTAGGTTATTTCAGGTGCCCTGTTTGTACTTCCTACAGTTTTACAATATATCTACTCTTAAAGTCTGTTCAGGGGTCAAGATCAAGTATGGTTCCTGCTGGTTTGACAGCACAATGCCTGAACAAACTGATTTCCGTGGCTTCGTATTATTTTAAAAGCCCTTGATTGTAGTTTTAAAATCTTATTTTACAATATGCACTGCCGAAGCTGGATGGCAGTTCTTTACTTTCTCCTACTTTGTCTATTAGAACTCTAGAATAAACGAAGACACTCCTGTTTCAACAAACACATTTTAGCGAGCTGACAATCAAGCAACGAAGAGTAATCTGGGCGTTTATTCTGCTCAACTTAATTGAGTTTCTGCAAGGTTAGCCAAGGAGCTGCTCAAGTCCTTCTCAGCTAATCTGGATCTCTCAGGCTGTCAGCCCGATTCCCTGACTCATCACTTCTGGTGAGCAAAGGGACCCCGGAGACGTGTAAAGGAGACCAGAAGGAACTGCTAAGGAGTGGGAAGAGCGGGACAGAGTCTGCCAGACACATTCTGCAAATAGTTCTCGTCCACCTGCAGCCTCATACCACTGTTACTCGCGTACAACTGTCCCATAGGCCAATCTGTCCCCATTTCTTGAATAAATGGGCTGAGGGGAGCCCCCTATTGATGGTGGTGCCATCTGGACTTAGGGTGCCAACAAGGAATATAATATACCGCTAGCAGTGGCAAATGAAAAGAAGATCATGTCAAAATATTTAAGATGGAATTGAGAAACTTCAGAACGTCAGAAGAGGCAGACGACCTAGCAATCCGCAATGCTCGAATCAGATCCTCCACCTGCTAGGAAACAAGATGCGGAAGCTATTTAAAGGATTTTATCAACCCATAGGAGCTTTTTGCGGAGGACCTTCTCTCGGTTTCACCACCTCCCCAAGCGTGCTTGGTGAGGACATGGGAGAGGGCCTTCTTGTGGGCTGCCCCCAGGCTCCGGAATGCATTCCCCTGGTTGGCTCCCTCCCTCTTGTCCTTCCGCCTTTGGACAAAGACCTTCCTCTTCAGACAGGCTTTTAAGCAGTGAGTTATCTCAGGAATGCTGGTTTTTAGCTTACAGGTTTAAAAAATTTTTGAATTTCTTTTATACTTGATTTCTTTTGGAAAGATCTCCTGTATGGAGAATTAGTGCAGGGAAATCGCCCCAGAGGGAGACCACAGCTGCCATACAAGGAGATCTGCAAGTGGGATCTGAAGGCCTTGGGAATGGACCTCAACAGATGGGAAACCTTGACCTCTGAGCCTGCATCATGGCCTCTCCCATTTTCAAGAGACACTTGTTCAGCAGTCCAAGGCCAAGAGGCAGTCCTGAAACCAGGAAAATCAGGGAACCACTTGATCAGCAGTCCAAGGCCAAGAGGCAGTCCTGAAAGCAGGAAAATCAGGGAGATGGACAGGGGACGGATTGGTATTTGTCTTCAGTGTGGAAGGGATTGTCACTCTCAAATTGGCCTTCTCAGCCACACTAGATGCTATTCCAAGTCCTCTATTCAGAGCACGTTACCATAGTTTCTCCAGACTGAAGGATGCCTAATCTAATCTACAGTCCAAGGCCAAGAGGCAGTCCTGAAAGCAGGAAAATCAGGGAGATGGACAGGGGACGGATTGGTATTTGTCTTCAGTGTGGAAGGGATTGTCACTCTCAAATTGGCCTTCTCAGCCACACTAGATGCTATTCCAAGTCCTCTATTCAGAGCACGTTACCATAGTTTCTCCAGACTGAAGGATGCCTAATCTAATCTAGATTAATCTAATATATATCTAGTGTGAAGGCAAGAGGAGAAGGGGACAACAGAGGACGAGACGGATGGACAGTGTCATCGAAGCAACCAACATGAATTTGACCCAACTCCGGGAGGCAGTGGAAGACAGGAAGGCCTGTTGTGCTCTGGTCCATGGGGTCAGAAAGAGTCAGACATGACTTGACTAAACAACAACAATAAATCTATACAGTACTTGATTGTTTCAATCTGAATACATGTGTGCTTTTTAATGTTATATTTATTTATTGTTTTAAAATTTATTACTTTATCTGTCATGAGCCTCTTTAGGTCCCCTATGGGGAAAATGGAGGTATATAAACTAACTAACTAACCTACGAACTAAATAAAAACCATTTCCATCTGTCACTGTTGTGTTGGGTTTTGGGTTTTCTGGTCTCTAGACTAAAAGAAGGACTGGCTTTGTTGAAACTGGAGCTGAAGGTAACATTAGAAATCCAAAATGCGGGTACTCTGGGGTTTGTTGCCCAAAATGGAAGGAAGGAAGGAAGGAAGGAAGGAAGGAAGGAAGGAAGGAAAAGAAATAAAGAACTTCCTTAGCCTCAACAGAGTTCTGAATGGTGCAAAAGAAACATGAGCTCTATGACATTTGGTAAGATTTATATGATACTAGTTTCTCAGTGTTTGATCATCATTCCTAAGAACCCAAAATGTTTTCTCTATAACTGAACTTGCTTGAACACACACGTCTATCCAATTTTCTTTCCCCCTGGAAAAGGACCGTGAAGATGACTGTACTGTCACCAACACAAAGATTTTGAGCAAAGCTGCACAAGAAGCAATTTGGTAATTAACTCCAGAGTCTTTCTCAGTATGTCTGCAGAAAAGAAAAGCCAACAATTTACAGTAAGGACCCGTTACATGCATTGTGCATCTGCAGACACCCGGGTTTTTTATGTGCAAACTGCAATCACAAGTTCCCTAATGATGGCTGGAGTGGGGGACGCTTCTCCTCTCCAGTCTGAGACTGAATGCCCTCCACTGGTTGCAAGCCACCTACACAAGGCTCTTTCCTTATGAGCAACACATTAGACAAGGAAAAACAACAACACACATACATATTTGCATCTTTTATCTATACCTGCGTTCTCACCTTCTAACTTCACTACAGAAATCAAACGCATCCTCAGTGGCATCTCTGCGCCTCACTGCCCCCAGGCTACCTCATTACAGCTTGATGTTCAGATGCATATGTACACTGGGGAGCAGGTCAACCTCCTCAGCTGTGCTGCCTCAAGGCTAATTTAAGCAGCCATTTTTTTTACCAACCACGACAACCCGTCTTCAGAAGAAATGGAGTTACTCTGAACAAAACACCAATGCAAAAGAGGCAGGGAGCAAACAATACAGATTTCATGTGACTACATGCTCTCATGGAGGGAATGCTCAGAGGCTGGGCCGACTAGGATATCCAGGGCACTGCAGCCCAGAAAAGTAAAATCTAGTCTGAGAGTTCCCCTGTGTCAAAATCAGCACGGACAATACCAACTTCTGCGAGAGACCAATCTTTTTGATCATCTGCTGACGGCAAAGATTTCTGAGCAGAGGAGAGGCAGTTTCCAAGATAAGCAGTGCCTCCACCCCCTCGTCTAGAACCTGAATTGGCAAAGTCCCAGAAACGGATGGTGTGGCAGGGCAGCTAATTGCTTCAATCAGCTGCCAGTCACTAATGACCCTAGCACAGTAGGGCTTGCAAAAAGACCTTTGACGTCATGGGCTCAGATTAATGTCTCCCCTCGAAACTTCTACATGTACACATGACCAACACAATACTGCTCAGTTTTAGGCTTGTTCATCAGACGTGTACCTACAGCTGGGTCCACAAACATAGTTCCAGGTAGTATCATTGGGTTGGCCCACTCATAAGCGTCTTGGGGAAAAGAGTCTGTCCTGCTCAAGCGTTTCCCTAAACATATAAGATTACTGTTAGTGATGGGGGTATTTGTATACAAATACCCCCATCTCTAATTATTATTATTACGTAGTTATTAGTTTTATTTATATGCCATATTTCTCCTGACAAGGGACCCAAAGCAGCTCACAACATTAAAATTCACACAATTTTTAAAAAACCGTAAGTTAGATATCATTCACAGCAAAAGTCTGTTCCAAGGGAACTCACACGTATTACATTCCATAGCAACTGAAAAGTGGTTCATTGTGTTGTTCTTCGTTACCTGCTTTACCACAGTGACAGTTCCTGGGGCCATGGCGACCACAGAGGCCACGGCAGTGGCATCGTGAGGCTCCGAACCCAGTTCTATGATCTGCTGCAGAATGTTCACCGCTGTGGAGTCAAGTCGTCCCCCTGATCCAAAAGAATAAGACCGAATGATAATATTAAGACCAGCATTAAGATCACATAAAAACCTTTTGTCGCCTGTCTGATTTTGCAGATTCCACCACACTCTTGTGAAAAAACAAACTCCCCCACCTTCCTGGTGAAATCTTCCCTATCTTCTCATTTTTGTGAGACAGTTGTGAAACAGCTGAAAAACAGTTCGGTTCTTAAGAGTGAGCCCTGGCTATTCAGAAGAACCCCTGCAGTTGGTACTAAGAACTATAACTCTCACCCTGATTTACCTTTAGAAACTTCAGTGCGTTAATTAAATCTGATGTGCTAACCAAATATTGTGACACTTGGGCCGAAATCCAGCAGTAAGCCACAACTAGAGAAGGTTCATAAACTTCAGTGCGTTAATTAAATCTGATGTGCTAACCAAATATTGTGACACTTGGGCCGAAATCCAGCAGTAAGTCCAGCAGAAGGTTCATTGAATCAACAGGGATTTGGTGAGTCAACTAGTCATTCATTCTGTTCATTTAATGGGACAAATTTAGTTGTGACTTACTAGTGGATTCCAGCTTTAGTCTTGTATGTAACCACTGATGGAGTGGGATCACCCAAGAAGTAAACAGACTAGAGGAAAATATAGCCACTGAAGCAGCAGCCTAGAAGAACCCTCCTCAAACAGTGGGAAAGTGTTGCAAGTACACCCAAGGTATCCCCTGGGCAATGGCAGTCAAGTCAGCCAATCCTTCACTTCCAGAACGGTTGTATCGTAAACTTATTGATGAGCAAAATAACCCAATGGTTCTTTTTAGGACCACAAATGACCATCAGAGAGATCCTCTCTCTGTTAATAGAAGAGGGGATCTCTTCATCTGAAGAGGAACTCTTAACTTCCCTTTGCCGCAAATGGAAACGTGGCATCATTTCTGTTCAGGAAACTCACAGAGGAACCAATCATCCTCAACCAAAAGTTCCTGGGATGGTGTCTAGTTGCTGAGAGCCCCCCCCCAACCAAAACAGAAGTGCTGTTTTTGTAAGACCAGGTATTAGACTCCACTCAATGGACTTGGCCGAAGAGGACAACGTAGAAATCTTCATGGTTGCACTGGATGAATGTAGGTGTGGTAACATCGATATACAGTGGTGCCCAGCATAGTGATGTTAATCCATTCCAGGATTAACGTCGCTATCCGGATTCGTTGCTATGCGGGGGGGAACCCCATAGAAACGTACGTATTAAAACGGGTTTAATGCATTCTTATTGGGGCGAAAACTCACCGCTATGCGGGGAATCCTTGATCCGACTGTTAACGTCGCTATCCGGATTCATTGCTATGAGGGGGGGAACCCCATAGAAACGTATTAAAACGGGTTTAATGCGTTCTTATTGGGGCGAAAACTCACCGCTATGCGGGGAATCCTCGATCCGACCGCATTTTCGCTGCCCGGTAAGTGAGGGCAGGGCGCGAAAATGCTGTGGGCGGCCATTTTGCGGATGCGGTGGCCATTTTGGAACCGCCAATCAGCTGTTTAAAAAACATCGCAATGTGATGTTTTCCCTATTAAAACATTGCAATGGGATAGCAAAAACAAAACATCGCAATGCGATCGCATTAGCGATCTCAAAAAAACACGTCGCTATGCAGATTCGTCGATAAACGGTGCGCTCGTTAAGCGAGGCACCACTGTATACTATATATCAATGTTACCGTACCTAATATACTATGATACTTAAAATACTATTCTTTTTTTCAGAAGACATCTAATACGGAAAACCGAAACACTCACTTTCTAGTTGGAAATTTCAATAGCCATAGCAACATCTAGGGCTATGAACATGATGACAAAAATGGCAAAGACATTATACATGATCCTAAATGAACCAGCTTATTTAAGAGCGGCAGGTGGCAGAGAAGCTACAATCTAGATCAGATTTTTGATGGTGACCCTATAGCTCAACAGTGTATTAAAATAAGAACAGGTGAACACTCTGCATAGACCCAGTTTATGTCAGATACCTACTCAGCCTGCTCATCTTAATCTACACTGCTCCGTAGAAGATATAATTTTTAAAAAGCCATTTGAGAAAAGTTGGTAACAATGCTAGAGGCAGCTGTGCTTCAGACTTTCCCCTCCAACAGAGAACTATGCTACGATATGACTAAAGAAAAACAGGCTATGAATGCTGAGCATTTCTAAACCGTGTTTCGGAAGATTCATTTTTCCTTATGGATAACATTTTACCATCATCTGCAGTATATCGCAGGTCCTGCAAAGCAGTTACAGCAGCCTGGGTTCCTTGCATATCTTCGGCTTCTGTGATCTGGAGATACTGTGTAGGCATCTCTTCAGAAATTTCTATGGTTTGCTGTTAAAAAAGGCCCAGGGATTGATTGGTCATCAAACAGAATCAGCCGACACAGGCATATCATGAAGGTGTCAAGTTACGGATGCATTTGAAATACTTATAGACCGAATTTCAAGACGTAGGTCTCATAGCAGCATAAAACTATCAGGCGAAATACAGTATTTGACTAATCAAACCACGAGAATACAGTATTGCAAGAAGGATGGATTCAAGATGCAGTGGAATAAAGGCAGTTAAAGAAAAAGAGAAATGATTTTTCATGCCAAGCTTTAAGTTTTGCACACCTTTACAGGAAGGTACTTCTGCTATAATGGAGCTACCACTGAAAAGGCTCCATCTCTCTCTCTCTCACTCACTCATATGCATACTAACCTACTTAATCTTACCTTCTGCTATAATGGAGCTACCACTGAAAAGGCCCCGTCTCTCTCTCTAAGAATATACTAAGTCCTGTGTTACTTTCAATTCATGTTTAGCCTTGAATATAACAATAGGTACGAATCTAAACATTAAGAGGGACCCCGGCATAATAACCTACTTCATCTTCCCTTCTGCTATAATGGAGCTCCCACTGAAAAGGCCCTCTCTCTCTCTCTCTCTCTCTCTCATGCATACTAACCTACTTAATCTTACCGGTGGTAAGGATGCAGGAAGAAGGCAGCCATTCAGGAAAACTTTACATGATAAGAAAAGAATATACTAAGTCCTGTGTTACTTTCATGTTTAGCCTTGAATATAATAGATACGAATCTAAACATTAAGAGGGATCCCATGTAGTATGTATACAGTAATAGCAACCCAGCTGAATGCAACTGATGTATGTGTGACTAAACTGAGATGTTTTTTTCTGTGGATAAAATGGCAGTTTTATAGCCAGAAGATGATTAAAGGTACTGCCGGCCACAACTGCTGAGTCCAGAAAGAGGGATTGGAAAGGTTACTTTTTTTTTTACTACATCTCCCCAAAACATTAGTATATCAAATCTGTACATTTCCTGACCCCACCCACACCTGTATTGTCTGAATTAAGTTGCCAGTGGTTTGGCTTGAAGTGTACAGCTCTGAAAGATGCTATTTAACTAACAATGTGGCGATTTATTTATTTTGTCAGCCAAACCAAATATATTTTTCAGCTAAGAAAAGTGAGTGGTCACGATCCATGAATGATAATTTTTTTTAAAAAAAATTAAAGTGAAAGGCAGGGGAGAGGTGTTTGTTTGTTTGTTTATTTATTTATTTATTTATTTCGCTAATGGCTTATACCTCTGCATAGGCGAGAAAGAATAGAGACAGGACGTTACTTTTGACCTCACAAAGAGTCCATGCAGTTCTGTTTTCATCTTATTCCAGTTCTGTCACCTTTTCTTCAACCCCACGCCAGAAAAATATACATTTGAGAGATACCTCCCATTTATACACCTACCTCCCATTTTGTCTCTCCATCATGCTCCACTAATTTGAGCCCATGTTTGTTTTTGATGTGTCTGTTGAATTCCCATTTTGTCCCGTACACAAAGTTGCACACTGGGCATTTGATGCCACCTGGAGGGGGGAGGAAAGTTTTGCAATGGTAAGAACAAACAATCAAGTGAAGATTTTGCACCTGCCATCATATTGTTCTCTCAGATTAGGCATAAACATGGCAGGTTACCCACAGTATGCTTTTTGAAAGGCTTAACAGTTCCGAATCCTTTAATTTTTAGATACAGAAAACCCTAAACCAAGCTGTTAACATGTTTCTGGGCATGTTCTCGTTACATCTCAACTGGCTCTCTATTAGACAAAGAGTGAGTTTAGACACAAGTATTTGCTTATTTTTGGTATTTCTACTCCCTAACTTTTTCATTAACCTCGACAGCATCTTAAAAAGCAGAGACATCACCGTGCCAACAAAGGTCCGCATAGTCAAAGCTATGGTTTTTCCAGTAGCAATGTATGGAAGGGAGAGCTGGAGCATAAAGAAGGCTGACCACTGAAGAATGGATGTTTTTGAATTGTGGTGCTGGAGGAGGCTCTTGAGAGTCCCTTGGGCTGCAAGGAGAACAAACCTATCTGTTCTAAAGGAAATCAACCCTGAGTGCTCACTGGAAGGATAGATCCTGAAGCTGAGGCTCCAATACTTTGGCCATCTCATGAGAAGACTCCCTGGAAAAGACCCTGATGTTGGGAAAGTGTGAAGGCAAGAGGAGAAGGGGATGACAGAGGACGCGATGGTTGGACAGTGTCATCAAAGCGACCAACATGAATTTGACCAAACTCCGGGAGCCAGTGGAAGACAGGAGGGCCTGGCGTGCTCTGGTCCATGGGGTCACGAAGAGTCGGACACGACTTGACTAAACAACAACAATCCCCCTTTAAAAAAATATTTGTTTATATAACCCCAAGTGGTTTAGAACACAGAAACAAAGTTACCAAAAGGTATCAAAATGGTGTCCAAATACTCAGATATTTCTCAGTAGCTTCTTGAGAACCCAAGCCAATCTTTGTTTTAACCACCATCTCAATGGTTTCCAACCATAAGTAACCCAGGTGTTCTTCGACTAAAACTCCCAGAAGACCTCACTGCTAGCTGTGCTGGCCAGGATTTTTTGGGAGCTGCAGTCCAAGAACATCTAGGACTCAAGGTTGGGAACCACTGATAGAATAGGAATTCTAATCATCCTCTTACATGTGGACAGTCAAGTTTATACTGTTCAAGACCAATGACTTGGAGACTGCTCTGAGGAACCAAGATTTCTAGCTCCTCTCCGGATTCATTTCTGAAGGTAAACATCCCCAAACAGTATAATGTGGCAACATCACATGTAGCACTCAACATGCAATTAATCATCTGAAACATGAAGTTCCAAAAAGGGCTTAATTACAACCATGCTGGTGTTGCATTTGTGAGGGAACATTTTCCAACACTCATGATGAGTTACGACGGTAATTACAAGGTTGCTGGATTTCTGTTCAATTAACCTGTCAGGAGGCCACGGTGCTCTCCGTATAATTTTATGCTGATAGGTTGGAAGTGTAACTTCAGAGCTGTCTATTTAATCTTTTGGAGAATATCTTTCCCTCATATATTCCTATAATTGAATCTTTAGATTGGATACCCACTTAACTTGGAATTCACTGAAGGCTGGACCCCATTCATCTTCAGAGAAGCCAGAGGGCACTAAATAATGTTTCTACAGTTCTTCAAAATTGGCGTTTCCAAGACTGCTAGGATGACCTTCACCCAGTTATCAGGATAAACTGGAGAGAAGGGCAGACTGGTATTTTGGCTTGATCTAATGAGAGGGAAAGTAAGATGTAGATGTGACTAATAAATAATTTACACACATATTTTAAGTCTTTAACAAGAGCTGGAAATCGGTGTTTCCTGTTCCATTTTCCAAAATCTCTGGCACTATATGTGGCAATTTTAAATTGGTTTTGTTCCTCCTTGTTTGCAGGCTTTTAGTTTTCTGTTCTGATCCAAAAGAAACCCTGACATCTTACAATGAAAGGATGAAGACAGAACATGGAGGGATTTTTATTCCCCCTGAGTTTGACAACATGACATAGTTGTAAGGCTTATCCAACCCCTTTTTAAAATAAGAACTTACTGAAAAAGGATGATGGAGAGGATATTTGTAGACTAATAATGCCGGTGGTAAGTCAGGAAAACAGACCAAAATCTGTTTTACTGCACCTTAGAAAGAACTCCAGAATAGATACTAAACTGAACAACAGGTATTAGAAATAACTCAGTGTATTTCCCAAAATGTAAGCCTCATCTACAGGCTGATTGTGATACCAATAAGGCATCTATTAGCTGGCTCCAAGAATGAGAAAACATTCCTGGAAAGGCTTACAAGGTGAGTAAATATCCTCATAAGTCAGTGGAGGCACTTAGACAATTTCCAATTATTCATCTATTATTCACCCTGTAATAGGCTTTCCTCAGAGACATGTGCACTGTCAATCAGACTTGCAAATTAAGGTTGTGTTTAGCTTGAAATGACCAATCACAAAAGTAAGTCTGCTATATGCAATATAAATAAGCAAGGAAAATCATATCCTACGAGAAACAGACATAGTTTACCACTTGTGGGAACACCTGTCTTACAAACATGCTAAATCAAGAAGGTGGATTTCATCAACAGGAACTTAATGAATAGGCAGTTGGAACAGAATTATTTTCTCTATTTTGTTTGGTAAAACTGAATTAAAATGATGCTTTCCCCTCTGATATTTATTAACCTCTAAGGATTTTCTAAGCCCTATCTAATGCTATATTTAAATGCTTTAAACATGTAGTTTCTTTATGCTACATAGGAATGGCTTCTTTGCTAATAACAGTACATAATCTTCATGTGCCTTTGGCACAAAGCACAGCATAGATACCAGCAGTTACCGACTCTGAAATGAAATATTCATCCCCTACCACCCTATTAATAAAAACCCAATCGGAAGAAAAAAACCTTTCTATATTTCTTTTAAATTAAAATTACTGTAACAATAAGACTATCTTAATTAAAATGGCCACCTTTGTCACTGTGACTTTAATTAAGGAAAAACAAATGGACGCATGCCATTGAGCTGCTAGCATAAAAACTGTGTAGCAGTTAATTGACATGAGAGCTAAAGAAAATTAATTTCTATCTGATTCATTAAATACTCCACTATAGAGACTAAAAGGTCACCGAGTGACATATTGTATCTACTTTTGACACCGGTGTGCATAGTCCAATCATATTGGAATAGTTCACATTTCTGAAATGCCAGCTGAGAAATCCCATGGTTTTTATGGACAAAAAGTATTGTATATCAATGTATTAAATGTCTCTTGGAAATGTTATTTTTATATTGCATTAATGAACCGTGGTTTCAAACCAGGAGGAAGGAAGGA